CAATGTGTAAACTTGAAAGAAGACAGATCAATTTTACACATTTGTTGTCTATAAAAGATGTTTTGTGAACAATATCAGCTGCCATCAAATGTTTATACCCATTCCATGCAATAGGAAAGTAACAAGTGAGTGATAACAACGATATAATGTGATACCAAAATGCATGCCTCAAATTACACTGTATGTGCTGTATGAAAATGTTTGAAAACGAGATCTTTTATCTATCAGACAGAAATCGTTTAGTTGCTGCCATTAGTGAATTTTAATGGACCATTTCACATGTTAACACACGCACTTAAATTCATACGTTTTTAAAGGAAAGCATGCTTTAACGCTCCACTTAAATATTACGATAATTCATTTGCACAGCAGGTTATAATATCATAAAGCTATTCTACTTTACAATGAAATATAACTTTGAAGATGCCATTTTACACCGTTTGTCATTGTAATTAAAGTTTTATAAATGACAAAATGTATAATTGTTATTGGTAAAATTAAAGTTTGTTTGTTTGTTTGTTTCATTTTACGCATTTTCACAACATTATTTCAGTCATATAGGCGGGTAGTTTCCTAACCATCGTTCCTGGAGAGTTACACCAGTACTATACTACCTTCATCCGCGCTAAACTACCAAAGCATCTCCCGGGGATCGAACCCACGCCAGAGAGGTAACTGGATTAGAAGTCATCGACTCTAACCCCTCGACCACGGAGGCGGTGTAAAATTAAGTGCCCTTAGTCAATTGGATTCACTAGTAAATAGTACATTTGTAAGAAATACCTTTGAGACATATACAGTTTCATACACATTTAAATGACACGAACGCGAATTATTGCCAAACATATCATTTAATCAGCATAGTAAAATAGTAAATATGAAACTTTTTTTAAGGTTGGTCAAACTGCAGATTTGTAATTCTAAATATCATCAAACCTTCATATTCTTAAAATTCACAACCGTTGAGCCTGGTGATGGTAATTATAAAATGTCCATATTCTTTAATCCAGATTAATTCGCTGTAACTTTGATAGATTAAAGAGTATTATCTTTGGTTACAGAAACTTCAAACTACCTCCAAATCGGCACACATTAGCAGATAAATTAATTTATACCTTATCTGGTCGAGAAAGAGGAATCGGCGCTTCAAATTGATTTTGATGAAGCACTTGTAGTTGGATTAACATCAGATCCATGCACATTTAGGTTTACAGATTCTTACTTATAACTGGTCCTGACCCCAAAAATTGGAACTGCAGTTAAAAGTCTTGCAAATGGAACATTTTTATAGGAACTATACAGCTCGGTGCTCTTAATGCTCTTGAACGTAATGTAATATATTATGGATAATTTGAAAGTTATTACTATTAATCAGGGCTCCTGGGCTTGACCTTTAACTAGAATACATTCAATCTTGCTTCAAACAAAGCCCAAAATGATACTACCTTGTATTAGGCAAAATAAGGTCTGTGGTAACCTTTTTATATAAAAGGTGTATGGTACATAATATTTGAAGAAAAAGCAGTCTGGTTTTAACTTACAAAGTATTAATTTAAACTAGTAATGGGTTGCGATTCCACATATAATATTCTTAAAAAGTTTCTTGAATAACGACCTGCTATTCTTGCTAAATTGCTTGATAATTGATTGTAAAAGTAAGTGCTATGGCAAACATTGTTACAGACCTAAACCCTTTCAAATGCTGTAATCGATACGGAAGCTTTTGCAAAGATCATGTCAGATGATGGTAACTGCCACATTAGTCACCAAATGCTCATTCAACCCCAAACAGAAAAACGTCGAAAGCACTTTACAGTTAATTCTAATGAACAGCCATTCATCAAAACCCTGAAGAAGCAAACACTGGTCTAGCAACAGGATATACAAAAAGTTGCAGTAGGTAATCAAGTTACTGTCAAGCAAGAGTCGCCTGGCCTACATGTACCTGTTAGTAATCAACCTCTTTTATCAGAACTGCCTTCTGTTTATAGAACTTGTGAAAAAGGGCCAACAGTAATATCTCAGGATGATAAGTTAGAGGTAACACAGAAAAAGCTGCCCTAGAATGTTTATTTAATGATGATAAAGTGGTCAGGGAGGAGCCTCAATTATCACTCCAACAAAGGGTGTTGAAACAAATTAAAATTTACAGGATGGCATATTTTTCTCTATTTTAGGATGTAGCTGTAAATACTTACAAATAAGAATATTGGAAAGTACACCCTGAATATCCTATGACAACTTGCACAAACCTACTTTTCGTTTTGCCTCTACACGAGTGTTCAGCATGATGACATTGTGTCAGCTGCAACCAGATACCTGACCTTGTAGACAACTTAGTTAAAACTATGATCATGACATAGTTAATTTAAAACCACTAAACACTTTACTATAATTGTAACCCAAAGTTAATTTATTATCTAAGTTTGAAACACTCACAAGACTTAAGAATTTAATAAAACAATATAGATATCTGATGTTGCAATTATTCATTAATATGTTACATATATTATAAAATATAATTAACAAAGTCAATATCTTCAGAAATAAGAACATATATTCTCCAGGGCATTATAAAATTACACAAAAATCACAATAATGAACAACGTATTATTATGGTGTAATGTATCACCAATACGTATCGTGTCCGTATCGCTATTCGTCTCATATCGGAAATGTCTGAGCATTACCAAGCCTTGTAAATTACCAATTCAAATATTTCCAACTGTTTATATTTGTAAAGATAAATAAATATTTTGATATTTTGAATAATATTGCTTGAACGTCATTTATTTTGACTCAAATGTAAAGAGATGGTCTTTATTTGTTACATATTGTTACCTATATCGGTGCTTTGAATATAACAAGAGCTCTCGTAGTGGTTAAGGTGTCGTCCTTTGGTCAACCGTACATGGATTAGTGGATCTGAAGCCGACTCGTACTTCATACGACAGCACCTTCGGAAAGTTCTAAGAAGCCGGCTTGTGTGTTGTTCAAATAATTAAAGCTTTCTTCACAGTCAAGATATCAAGAAAATATGTGAAACTAAGATAAAACAAGCTTTGTATCTTGTGTCACATAATTATTTCTGTATTTGTCAGGCATCAAATTTGGGATCTCAATGTTTAATACAAAGCAGCTATGTCTATGATTTCGATACCAACAACAACAACATAAAAACAAATCAAGAATAAAGATCAACAAGGCAAGGGCAACGTTTAAAGGATGCAGACCCCCCCCCCCCGACACACCTAAGCAGGACACCCAGAAGGCACCAAACAAAAACCGGGAGTGGACATAAGGACGGCGAAAGGAGAAGAAAGCATAACGTGTGAAAACACGTCTTTTGGAAAAAAGATTTGTTTTGTTATTCTGCTTCAAAGAATGTAGTTGAATCTTTTTATTGTGTAGGAAGAAGGTGTTGGGCGACTAAAGTAAATAAAATCTGTTGTCAATGTTAAATCACTCTGGCTACCACGATTAGGATTCCTATTACAGTATATGAAGTGCTGCTCGCTGTTTGCACTTAGTGGCTTCATAGAAAGGCCCATTAAAAAACACTTTTATTTTGGCCCCCATGCACGAACTTTAAGTGTTTCTTTACGTTTGTTTGTTTGGATTTTTACGGCACGTCAACACATAACTGGCCATATCGTGCCGAATGCTATAATAGGCTTAAAATGTTATGTTAAATTTTGTAAATGACAATGAAAATGAGCCAATTAGATCCTAGAATACAAGTTTATCTCTTTCAAATAATCAATGATGTTTTTTGATGGAATTGTATTAAAGAGTTCTTTGAGTGAATTTACACAATAAAATCTATTACAGGCCTGTGAAAAATCATGACATTCAAGAAGAAAATGCTTGACAGTAAAATTTTCATTACAAGCTACACAGAAAGGGGCATTGTCATTCGTGAGAAGATAAGAATGGGTAAATTCGGCATCGAAGAAGAACTGTTTGATCATGGCGTTTTGACAGAGATAGAGATGGTGACACATCAAGAGATGTGTTTATATCGTGAAGTTTATTAAAAACGGCATTGTCCCAATGTGCTTTCCATTCAGATGATACGAGTTTATTTATAGCCGGTCTAAAATCACAAGCAGGTTAAACAATAAGCCAGTTTTTTGAAAATTTAATGATTGTTTAGCTAAAGCATCTACTTTTTCATTTCTTCGTGTACCTACATGACTTGGAATCCAATATAATTTAACAGATTTTGTTTTAAGTATACCATGAAATCGTAAAAGAAGTTTCCTTATCATGATATTGTCAGATTTTTTATTTTTAATGGATATTAAAACAGTAAGCGAGTCAGAAAATATCACAAATTTATCATGGGTATGCTGTACTGTGTATGACAATGCTAAATCTATAGCTTTTGCTTCAGCAGTAAAAATTTATGACCTCATACTAAATGTAAAATTATTTTCAAACACAGCCGCACCTACGCACCTACTTTGCAACCTCCTTTTGAACCGTCCGTATAAATATGTATAAAAGCTTCATGTTCTTTCTTAATTGCTAGAAACTTCTCTTTGAAATGTTCAGGTGAATTTGATGACTTTTTTATATTTGAAAGGTTAATATTTATTATCGGGAATTATAAGTCCGAGGTGGAATATCCTCATCGTCATTTGGAAGGATACTGTCTGGATTAATTTTAAGTTTATCTAAATCATCTTTTAAACAAAGGCCTAATGGTTTATTTTCCTTTGGTTTGTTAACAAATGTTTCAATATAACTTGGTTTGAAAATAATATTTTTAGCTGGATTTTTGCAGTTAGATGAAATTCTAGTTGCATATTGAAGTGAAAGCTCTTTTACGTGAATTGAATTCAATGAAGTTTGAAAGAAAATTGAAATATGAATGCTATGTTTTATAAAATGACACATATTAACTTTAAGGGTTCAAAGTCTGTTTATAATTACGTGAGGTCATCAATTACATAGATAATATGTGTCTAAACAAAAAGTCCCCTGGAAAGTAGGACATGACTTTCCTTTCCTATTTAGTTTTGTTTTGTAATTGTGATATCATTGTAGCTTTTTGAGAATTTAAAAACTATCTAGAAAGTTCCTTATAAAGCAGCTAATTACAAACAGAATGAAAGGTTATCTGTTCATTGCAGCAGCGCTCAGTGGTAAGGACTTCTTATTCTATAATATTTTTTTCAGATAAAAGTAATGTCGTGTCATATCTAAAAGACAAAACATCTATCAATGACATTATGTTTAACAGAAGATGAAATATTTTAGATTGTATTGATAAAGTATTCATCACTAGAATCATCATTTGTTGTCTTTAGAGTGAAATGGTCTAAATTGGTCTATAATGAAAGGTCTTTAATATTGTGTAACAGTAAATAATTACATTAATACTATTAAGTATTACGCATAACAACCAACCAAGAAAGAATAACTAGTATATGTGGAATACATGTAATTGTTGGCAAGTGTGATATACATGATCCCCTATAACATATATTTATTTATTATATAATCTATAAAAAGCTTTGAAATGCCTTTCCCTGGTTGGCTAACAAGAAACTTTTTGTGAAAAATAACAGGTCAATATCAGAGTATATTCACTGTGTTTTTAAATAGATTTTCAGAGTATATTCACCGGTTTCTCTTCTAAAAATAGATTTTCTGGAAATCCCCGAAAGACGCGAGACTATGACGTGACGTCACGCCTAGTTCGTTGTTTTTCTTGTGGAAAAAAGTTGGGTGACACGTAAATAAGAGTCAAATTAGTCTTTTTTAGTTACCGTCTTTACATTTTAAGGACATTACGAATTAGCAAGCCAATGCGCTCATTTCAAACACATAGAGGATATTTGTTTGTTTGTGTGTAAGATGAAATTTTATTTCATCGAGTGAGCTCGATGAAATAAAATTACATTTTACACAACAAACAAACAAACTTTCTTTTTATTTTATGCTTGAAAACAAGTTAAAACGATTTTTTATAATATTAACGTTAATATTAAAATCTGTTTTCCCCATTGAGAGCCCCATTTAGTCGGAATTTCTCATTAAAATCAAGAAGTCTTGAGCTGAAAAATAAGTCCGACAACCAATGTTAAATGACGGTGATATTATTGATGATCGCTTGTTTTGATAATAAAGAAAAACAATTCTTGTAGGAGAAAAAGTCCAATCATCCATCCATATTTCTGTTACTTACTGCGAATTTATATTAGACCTTTGTTAAATGTAAGCGGCAGCCATTTTTTAAAGTTGTTTATTTCAAGGGAGGAAAATTATTGTGTTTGATTCAGAGGGATATCATTTGGATTTGTTAGTCATACACCTTTTTAAAAGAAAGAAAACTTATTTGAGGATTGTAACAGACAAAAAATAAGTGTTAACAGATGTGAAAACATTAAAAAAGCAGCTAGGAAGAAGCTGGCTCAGGAACGCTGGGTTGTTTTGCTTATTCTTCGAGCTGATAGCTGCCATTGCTTTTCAATTTTTCATAAAGCATACGGCAGTTATTGCTCGTAGGTTACTTTAATATGCCCAAATGTCATCAAGAGCAGTTTTGCATGTGGAAGGAATGCATTTTTCAGACTGTAAAAATGAAACAAAAAAATTTAGAGACGAAATTTGATAATTGGAATTTGAATGAATAGAAGTAAGTTTTCTTCTTTTTATTGCTTTTGACATTTCAGTTATTTATCAATTTCAGCTTTGTTTTTTCTTTTAACAGCCTGACATTGTCAGAATTGTCAGCAAAAATAAAATTGAGGTACCACATGGGGAAAATCTTAAAAAAGTAGTTTCGTCATTAAAAAGTGTGAAATTATATTTTGATAATTTTCACTGTGAAATAATCAAATATAATTTTCACGGATAAATCAGGTATCCACTGAAAAGCATAAAATAAAGGTCCATATTATGGAAAAAGTAGACAAGCTGAAATTTAAAATTTTCGATTTCCATCGTACTCAATGATAGATTTGATAAGCCATATAAAAGATATTTATAAATTATATAATAAAACAGATATCGCCTCGGTCAATATTATTTTTTTTCAGTACATATCACATCATATTCACCAGCTAAAAAGTCCATATTTGTATAATAGCAGATAATAAAGTGTTCTAGAAAAAAGTAGTATTATTCGTTACATTACAGTAATTCTAAATCACCGAGAACTTTATCAACATTCCTTTTCAAGCAACAATCTTTAAGAAACGATACATCCATAGACTATTGTTTTTATCAATATTTGAAATACTAATGGAACATGTACTCATTGTAGACCTATCCACTCTAATCCTTTTCATTAACTATTGACAATTTTGATAAGAAATTAATAAAAAATGTATTTTAATCGAAATATGGTCAATGTATTTAATTTACCAACTCGCTTATTTAATTGCCTTTATGATCAAGTTTGCATTATATTTCTGAAACATTGCCACATAGATGCTGGTTAAGTTCGCCAAGTAAGTATTTCGAGTGTCATATTGCTAATGATAGTATTTCTTTTAAAAGTTGTACACATATTCATATACATTTAGCTTTCCTATTTAAACGATTGGTCCCACATAGCTCATAAATGGAGGTTTGGCCGAACTTATCTGATGCATGGTGAAACTGAAATCTAATCTCATGTAAACAATACCATGTGTATTGAATTTTGTACATCAAATAAAAGAATAGAGAAAAACAGAATCTCTAAAGAAAGCCCAACACGGCAAAATTGAATATGTTGCAGACTCGGTTTGATTGAGCCTGTTCATGGACGGTACTGAAAAGTGCAAGTTACCGTCCACGCCCCATAGCACCGGCTTAAGCAGAATACAACATTTAACACGAAAATGGTGAAATTTTGAATTTAGAAACATCCGTAGATGTGTTCATACGGTGGTAATCATGGAACCTTCAATGTGACACAGTAGTGCCATTCCATGAAAAGCGGCATATGGTCCCCTATTTAAAAGATGCGTGTGCAACAATGGGCGGAACTAAATAAAATGGAATTTTGAAAGGGGATCTGAGGTTATGAAGCCTGCATATCACAGATAAGACGTCAAAAGACAATTTAAGGCAATACTTTCAGGTCTTATTTATTAACTTAATTTAACTTTTTTCGTACAAGTAAGTTACAGAAATTTCTTAACTTCTTTTGACCATGGCCATTTAGGATGATATCCTTCTTCTGTCTATCACATCTGTTATGTACACGGATTTCACCAGATTTTATACTGTTATGAAGAACTGTTACCCTGTTACTGAATAAATTGCTTAGTCACTTGCTTTAATAGTAAGAATAACTCCCAGTTACCTTTGGAAAATTAACATACCAAAAAATGAGGGGCAATAAAACAATATATAAATCACTTTTACCTGCAGGTTTCAGCTTTTAACAGTATCTGAAGCTTATTAAATGTAAGGTGAGAACTAGAAATGAAATTTTAACCTCGGCATTAACAGATAAATTTCAACATGGGCATTAGCTAATTTATCTATCCAATTGCAACTAGTTCATTCAGAAGATCAATAAATATTTCATGGAATTATAAATTGGACATTAATTAAAACATTTAGATTGAATACTTAGTGTTGTTTAAGCAGTTACTGCAACAACAGCAACGCAGTAGTACCTTGTACATTTATATTAAGAATTGAATCGGTAAGTAAAAGTAAGTAAATCTAAAACTTTTTTTGCAACAGATTTATTACAAGTGCGGCAGTTTTGTTGGAAGTTAAAAAAGAATACCTTCTAAAAACTCTGATCTAGGGCAGGTATTTTGTGTATAAAATTCAATTGTGATTCTTCCGCCATATGTTAGAGGTACAGCGTAAATACTCAGTGACTCAATGATTAAGATTACTTTATTGGTTGTTGGAAACCCTGAAAAATGGCGACCAATTACAATCATACATGTACTTTTTACGTTATTATGCACATTTGAATAGTATATATTTTGAACATGTAACAAAATTTAAATAAACGCAATTCAATTGGTTTGTTGAAACTGATACATATTTCACGTGTGCTTAAATGCTACAAATGACAAAGGAGTACCTTGTGTTGATTTCCAATGAGCATACCTTAATTCACCTAAACTGTATTTCACTAGTTATGTAATGTACAATTCCTTTGGTTTAAAATCTATTATATTTTTGGCTTTTTCTTCTTTGTGATCTCTTCATCTCTCGACGTTTCCTTGTTTCTATTCGGTGTTTCTCGTGGTGCCTTTCCGGTCGTCCAATATGGTTGACTTTTGGCAATGACTGTGTGAAAGTTGCTTTCTCTCCCATTTTTGTTTTAACTATTGATTGGAAACATCAAAAATTAATATGAATATTAACAATTATTGTTTCTTGCTCCAGTTGCACGCATTCATTGTTCAGACTGCCCTAACAATGATCTTCAAACGGAATGCTTGGATCTTGTGTGTGGTCCACACTTTCATGTTGAGTGCCTAACGGGTATATGCACTTGCAATCGTAAGTGAAAATCTATCAATTTTGTCGGCATTCTTTTTATTAACGGATTAAGTAGAACAAATAATGAATTCAATCCATATAATATTATGCAATTATATGCACATAAAATGTAATCTTGGGCATAATTATACTTTTGAAACTAAATTTCTATCAATTATTTAATCTTTACACGTTTCTATTGATGTAATTAAAACTGTTTACTGCTTTCATTATATTTTTGTTGATACAAAATTGATATTTTCACAGCCAATGCAAGCCACTTTTGTTTGAAAACGACAGACTGTTATGAACTGTACTTTAATGGGACACTTACATTTTGTGCCGATTCCTGGCATTGTGTAGATAACGGATGCAGATGTATTGAAAAAGTTGGCAATTAATTTTACACGTTCTTTAACTTGTCTGATCTGTTGGAATATTCATAATAAATTGTCAATGTCCTAGTTCAACATTTATTCTTTTATTACATAAAGCTTTATAACTTAAAGTTATGTTTAACCACTACACACCATGAATAAAACACTGGTAATAAATGTATTTGTACAAAATAGGCATAATCTAAGAAAACGTGTTGCACTGGTTCGTTTCCGGTTGTGAAATAAAAATGTATAGTTTTAAGTCATAGATTAAGCTATACGTTACGGATTTTTTACGACAATTTCCTTACACGTGATAATGAATATTAAAGGCGAAGCTTAAATAAGGAAAACGCTTTTATACGTTGGCGTTAACAGACAGCTGAAAAAACAGCAACCAGACTCTAAATATTTTTAAAAACATAAATGTTGTTTACTTAATTATGTACACAATTGAATTATAAGTCAACGAATGGTTAATTCAATATCGGTATTAAAGGCTGCGCTTTCAGTTTTGATGTGTTATTTATACTTTAAGCAGTAAATAAGTAGTCATGCAAAATAATTAAAACATTGCAAAAAGTGTTTATTAAGTTATAGATCGTTTCGCAATAAGTCTGTTTGGTATCAAAGCAATCAGCCGTTTAGAAAATAAAACTACAACTATCACTAAATGTGATTAATACCCCCGCAAGACTGCTTCGGAAATGAGGATGTTACTAGTAACAGAATACCTTGTAAAACAATTGAAATACAGTTTTGGTTGTGGGCAATTAAAGATAGTTGTGGTTTTTGTATGTTGCATTTCCTTTCAATGTGGTTGGCCATTGATGAAGTTTTATTGAATTACTCTGCATTAAGTCCAGAAAGACAAAGAAAAGGAACAAAGGGCAGTAACTCTATAAATACTGAAGATGGAATTATGGCTATTGTACACTGCACTTCCTCTCATTGCACCCATTGTATGAAGTTGTATTGAATTCTAACTACAAGTTTTCAAGTTATGCACAGGACAAAAAAGTAACAAAGGGCAATAACTGTAATAAGTCCAATTAGAGGTATGGTTCATGTGCACTGCACTTCATCTCACTGCCCTTGACCATTGTATGAAAAAGTATTGAATTCCAACTAGTAGTTTTCAAGTTATGCTCTGGACAAGAAAAAAGCAATGAAAAAGTAACAAAGGGCAATAACTCTGTAATTAGTCAAGATGAAGTTATGATTCTTGTGCACTGCACTTTCCCTTATTGTACTTGACAATTGTATGAAGTTGTTTTGAATTCCAACCAGTACGTTTTCAAGTTATGCTCCGGCCTTAACTCTAGCCTTTGTAAATTTAGAGAAGATGATTTTTTAAGTTTTTACTATATACATATAAGGAAAACATATGGCCCCCGGGGCGGGGCTAATTTTGACACTAGAGGCAAAATTTGAACAACTTTGGTAGACTACCTATAGATGATATCATTTAACAAATATTAAAGCTCCCAGACAATAAGATTTTTTGATGTTTTACTATATGTATATATTGAAAATCAATGATCCCTTGGGCAATCTTGCTAGAGGTTCACTACGCAATGTTTCATGCAAAATATCTAACCTCTAGCATTTGTCAATTGCTAAAAGAAATTTTTTTAATGTTTTTACTACAAGTTTTTACTATATACATATAAGGAAAACCAATGACCCCGGGGCGGGCCGATTTTGACCCCAGGGCTATAATTTGAACAATCTTAGTAGAGGTCTACCAGACAATGCCTTATGTAAAATATCTAAGCTCTAGGCCTTTTGGGTCTTTACAAGAAGGTATTTTAAGTCTTTACTATATGTACATATAGTGAAAATCAATGACCCCCGGGGCGGGGCCGATTTTGACCCCAGGGCTATAATTTGAACATCTTGGTAGAGGTCTACCAGACAATGCCTTATGTAAACTATCTAAGCTCTAGGCCTTTTGGGTCTTTCCAAGAAGATTTTTTAAATTTATTCTTATAATTCCTTTTGGTTGCCATGGCAACCAGATTTCTGCATGGAATCAAATTCTTTGAACAACTTTGGAAGCCCCTTACCCAAGGATCAATCCTGCCAAGTTTGGTTAAAATTGGACTAGTGGTTTTTCACAAGAAGATTTTTTAAGTTCACTATATAATCTATAGAACACACACACAAACACACACACAGGTGAATCGCTATATGCCACCGCATCGCAGATGCTGCGGTGGCATAAAAATGTTGAGTTGTCACGGAATTCAGTTTTTTTGAGGACATGCAGACAGACAGAATGAATGAATGAATGAATGAGGGCAACCCTCAAGTAATCTCCGCTTAAACGAGGATGGGACTAATAAAAATGGAACTAAAAGGTTTGTTAACGGACAAAAAACAATTGTATTTCCTTGTATGTAAACTCCAATGTTGCATTCTTGGATTGAGTTTGCCGATTTAACATTGTAAACATGCATTTCAACAAAATACATTTTGTTAAACGACAAAACATTAACTGTTTTGCTGATAGTAGCAATACCAAGTGTTCGAATACTCATTGTTCGTGTATACGCCGACAAAACAGAAGTTACATTCTTAGCTTGACATTGTCGGACCATCATGATTCGGATCAGCATAATCCAGCTTAACAAGTGTTTCAATAGGAGATAAAATAAATTCCGCCCATTTTCCCTCCCACTACATCGTCGTAAATAAAAGTATTTATCCGCTCATTTTCGGTATAAACCGTCAGCGACAAGAAGCGGCGTAGTTTCCGTTTACCACACCTTTCAGGTGTTTAGTTATTCACCTGCATGATTGCCATTCTATGCGTTTATACAATCAACATCAGCGGACTTTAAAGGATTATAGGCATATAAGTTTTAAAACGTTGTAGATACCACATTTCCTGGAAAAAGAAACTAAAAAAAAATAATAAAAAAAACTCACCAGGCTACTTAATGCCAGAGGTTAAATATTTTTCAAGGAAGTAAAAAGTATTGATAAGACTATATTCAACGACAAATAAATTTTACTTAGGGTATTCCAATTTGCATAGGAATGAGTAACATTTACAGTTTATTAAAGCTGCTACCTTACCACTTTCAAATTTTCAAGTCAACAGCTGTTGTCTTTCCTAGTAGTAGCATTAACTATTACATTATTAACCTTAATTCTAGCGTATGACTTGACTTTTAACAATAGTAAAATTATAATCAAAGTTGTATGTACCCTTTTGTACATAACTTTTTATTTTTACCATACTGTATAGATATATTTTCCCATTTTAACCATTTTGTTTTTCAAAAGTAATATTTAAATGAGTCCAAAGGTATGTATGTTGATTTTCAATTTAAATATACCTTGTTTATTTTATCTCTTAGAAAGCCATCAATCACAAAACTAAATAAATATTCTGTGTAGTATGTCATGTACATAAAAATAGTTCTCTGCTGACAGCAAGTCTAGGTAACAGCTATTGACAGCATGTATTCACAGATTTTAGAGTTGCTATTGACTCAGTACAATGCATAACCTACGTCAGCTTACATATATTTATTAATAAAAGGCTAAATCACATCTTATGACTCAAAATACCACCCAATGGATGTCAACAGAGATGCTAGGATACACTGAATATTTATTTCAACATTAAAATGGGACAAATTTACAAGTTTTTGGTTATACAACGGAATTATCGATAGTAAACTTTGAATTGTTTCGTGTTTATACACTTGGTCAAAAATATGGGGTTTTCTACAACCCAACATAGTCCTTAAAAGAAAGAAGGAACAGGCTTACTGTTCAGTTCTCTTTATTCGTGTTGCCAAAAGTGACTTCCATGTATCGCATTCTAGTACTATTTGCTGAATAAAAGATATGCGTACGAATATTACCGTGTAACGTTTGATGGCACACAAACCCTATCATCTTTCGTAGTGCTGTGTGTCACTATATATGGGAAACATTCACCAACTTTATTTTTTGCATATTATTATGCTCATTATCAGTATAAACGTTGTTACATTGTTACATTAAATCTTAACCAATTTTGCATTACTTGAATATCCTGTACTAGAATCAGAGGAGTTTTAACAAAATCAGAGGATGTTCAAAGTAAACTGTAATGCAGTTGATGTATGTGAAATTTATAACAGTTTCTATATAATTTGAAATATTTTTGTACCAGCAAGAGTTACCTCTCTTTATATTCCGCCATTGTGAAAATTGGCTCCGCCTATTAATTTTCGTCTATTTCCGTTATAAGTCCATATATGGAAGTTGCAAAATCGTTTTCAAATGTTAATCGCGTTAGAATGTTAAGTGTGGTGTTGTAAACCTGAGTGTGTTAAGTTGATGCAGTTACATTCTCAACGTCATGATGCACAGCATTAAACGTATTGTGTACGTTCAGTCGTTTACATTTCTACATGTCTCAAATTTGAAGTTATACATTTATAAATACAGTTTGCAATTTATCTAAATTGCATGTTAACAGCTTCCATTTTATCAAATCGAGATAATCAAAATGTTTAATACCAGTGCAGTATGTAACTCTCGGATTGACAATTAGATGTTTACTAATCTGTTTAGTAGAACCGAAGTATGCATTGTCAAGTTTCAAAGGTTGGATTTTTGGCAACAAATAGCCTCCATATAAGCAAGTAGTGAGGCTGTCCAATGTTCAATATCATCAGCAGTTTGTTCCGAAAGGGACAATAATGTCAATTAATGAAACATACCTAAACCGAAAACATAACTGGCTAATTATGAAACTGAAAAATTGCTCTATGTTATTTTAAACAATAGAAAAACCAAAAAGAGTTTGTTTTATTTAAGGCGGTTGCAGAGATCGTTGAACAAAAAGAGTGACAGTTGGACAGCACATGTAAAAAATAGTTGCAAAGGATGACGAGGATGACGACCCAAGACCCGTCCGGAAGTGCCAAAATCGAAAAGGATAACAATGGATTAAAAAGAGCCGAGACTAATATGAAATGCAACAATTCGAAGACTTATTATGTTCGATTTTTATTTTTGATTATATGATAATTTACTTCGCAGTCAGAAGCCATTTGATGAATGACGATAGAC